CAGTACCACACACACACACACACACACACACACACACACAAATCACAAATAAGTAAAGTTAAAGTTGTATTTCCTGAGTCATGTTAGCCACAATTTGAATGACAAGTAGCAGCAAGTGAATAGTTACCCCCAGCAAAGATTAGATAAGCCCTTTTATTTTATAGATGGTGAAGCCAGAACCCTAAATTGGTTAAACAGTTTACCTAGAATCACAGAGTAAGGTGACACAGTTTCGACTAAAAACTGGGCCTTGGGTCCATCAGGCGTTGCTGCCCTCACCTCCTCAGATGTTCCTTCACTATGCTATTTTGGGTCTGGCTCTGGGGCCATTTATAGGTTTGCCCTGGGAAGTAACATATATTTATAGTGCTTGGGTTGATTACCATTTTAATCAGAGTGAGGTTTCAACATCACTTTAATTCAAACATGAAAATGCAAAGTTAGGCAACTAAAATGACCACTGAAAGTCCAAATTAATTGTTTAGGGTGAAGACTAAAATAAATAAATCAGTGCAAAAGCCAGCTCACGCAATAGGAACTTCAGATTTTGGGAAGTCTGCGGTAGAACTGTGGATGCACAGAATTTTGCAAAGTGCTTTATGGGACGTTTTAGATCTGTCTGCCCACGGAGTATCTGAGATTAGCAAGCCAGAAGTAAAATATGGAAGGTCAGTGAAGAACATCCACTTATGGCAAGTGGCAATTGCTGTTTGGTTGCCACGATGGCTTGGAGAAACTCGCTTTTACTGATATTACTGGATTCATGAACATGAAACAGAAAGCCATTTCCATTTCTAAGAATTTTCTGAACTGAACTTCAAAACCAGTGAAGCCATGATGACGTCATTGCGAATCCGGGGGGAAAAAGACTTCACTCACATGTGCTCGGCTGTTCTCACCCGCAGACCTAGGCAAGTGGTTGGGAGTGTGGTTTCTCACGCGTCTGATGAAATTTGTGGTGTAAACCTGCATGGGCCACTTCACTGTTGGCTAAAATGGTTAGATTGCACCAGATGGTCTTTGATATTCCTCTAGACTTAAATGCTGCGATTCCAGGGCCATGGCTCTGAATTATTCTGATTGTGAAGCCTCGAGGCAGATGCTAACTGGACAAGAAGAAAGAAGGGATGTGTCCTGGCCTGGACATTTGTACCTCTAACTATGGCAAGACTGAGGACTAACACTAAAGAAAACTATTAAAAAGGTCAAGCTGGGCACTATTGCTGATTATTAAATTAGTTGGCTCAAAGGCTGGGGGGAAACACCTTGTTAGTACTGTTTAAATTATACAAGCCTGGGCCTGGGATTTAGCTCAGTGGTTCTGCCACCTGCCTCAAGAGTGCAAGGTCCCAAGTTCAACCCCTAGTATCAATATATATATATACATACATACATACAAGCCAGGTTTTTCTTCTTTAGAATCTTGGATTGATATTTCCAGTCAACTCCATTGATGGAGAAATGTTACAGTATGTTTTGTTCACTTTTAGCTTTTAATTCTATAAATTTCTCGGAACTACACTTAAAGATTTTTTGCATCTAATATTGATGCAGAATAATGTGTACAATTCTTCCGTCTACTAAGCCAGTAGAGTTTTTTTGAATGAAGCAGGGAGTGTTGCGGAGAAAGCACAGTGAACACAGCAAGCCCCCAGGATGCTTTGAAAGCACACAGTTTATTTAGCCAGAGAGAGTCTCCCCTTTACCAGTTCTGGGACTACAGAGGTGCTGTGTCACATATTTTGTGGAATGCATGTTTCGTCTCTTTAAAATTTATGTTTAGTACATGAATGCCTTCTTTTTTGACCTTGCAAAACAGTCATATTCTTAGTTTAGAGTAAGAGTGCCTTTTAAAAATTAATTTTATTGGTACATTTTAGGTATATAATATGTCAGTCATCATTGGAGATTTGTACTTTTACATAATATATCTTTTTGTAAAATCGAGTTTATTGGTACATTTTAGGTATGCAGTACAGTTACCTTCATTATTGGGATCTTGTACTTTTACATGACAGGTCTTGTTTATCATTTTTTCCCCTTGTCCTTGCCCACGTACATGACATATCTTGATTCTTTTAATTATGTTTGCTTTTCATTTTATCTTTTATTCAGTCATTTAGCGAAATCATGGATTTGGTGCTCATGGTACTTTAAAATCCCAAAGGAAGTTAATATTTTTAATGTAATTCTCAGTGGGCTGTAAGCAGGTCAAGAATTGACTCAATGTCATGTGGCCAAAATTTAAGAATAGTACATGTTAGAAACTTACAAGAACAGAAAGTGTGTGTGCCTCTAGTTAACTCAGAAAATGTAGATGGAAGCTATAAAAAACGAAAGTAAAAATTTAGATGAAGTATGGATTCAGGGGAAAACCAAGCAAGTTTTCCTATTCAAAGTAGCTTATTTGATCTTTTGGAAAGTATGCAAAATAGGTAAATAATATATCAAGTTTAAGTACTTCAGGCGTTTGAAAGCCATCTGACAACTTGTGTGACTGTTAACTTTCCTAATCCTTCACATTCTTTCCAGTGAAAGAGAGAACATTATATCTTATGTTGTTCTAATGAGTGTTGTGAGTTAATATTTATTTAAAGGTATTTAAGGTTAAAAATGGCCTCTGACAGATAACAGTGAAAATCCTGTTATTAAAGCAAAGGAAAAATTATATTTGTGAATTTGACATCCTTTAATAATCTATTTCATAATCATAATCTTGGAAAAATTGAAAACCAAAGAGATCTGATATTTTACACATGAAATACTTAGTTTTTTGTGTTTTCTTCTCTCTAAAAATCATTGACCATATTTGATTTGTAACAATACAAAAGTGCTTCGTGTTATAGTGAAATCTGATTTCTTCTCTTAGAAGAAGGCAGGTCAAAACAGGCAGATGTTTATAATATTTGCTTACCTTGATTTTATCTTTACTACATCTAAGAGCTTGAAGAGCAAATATATAATTGGTTAAGTAATTAATGAAAAGATAGAAATTTGAATTGATGTCGTAGTCTTTTCTAAAACAATTATTGCACAAGCAAGAATGAATGATGGATAAAATATGATACCCAGGGTTTTAAATATATGCTTTTTCAGCAGTAGTCAAGAAGTCAACTATCAACAGTTTGTCCATGTTCTTAAAAATGGGATTTCCATGATTTAACTCATAGAAATTACAGGATTGAAGTTTTAGAACTTAAAATTTTACTGGAAAAAAAATTTATTTGTTCAGAGTATTGATTAAGATGACTGAAAATGAGGAAAGTCAATTGCAAATAGAAATAGGAGTATCAGAAACTATTCCAGAATTCCTCAATTTGGAAATAAGAAACAGTCTTTTCTTCTTTAATGCAAAGAAAGCATATGCACACACGCGCGCGCACACACTCACACACACACACACACACACACAGGCAGTTAAGGCTGCAGACACAGAAGCAAAGGGAGCTCCTCACTTTAAAACAAAGGAACCTGATCCAGGTTCCTACTTGTCAGAAGGTTGAAGAAGATACGCAAAAACATTTATAACATGAAACAAAGAAGTGTTTTAAGATATTAATCCACTGAATCTATTTGTTACAGGGAAATTTGTGCGATTACAACTGAATGAGCTAAATCATTAAAGCTATCTTACCACCGAGATACTTTGCAAACAGTATTATAGTATGTGCTGTGTTCTGTATCCTATCAGCCTCTGCTGATAGAGCCAATGACCTAAAAAGAGTTAGCACTGCCAAATAGGAGAGAAACTTGGAGAACAATTCAGCACCTAAGGAAAGACTAACAGCTTGTTTTCTAGTGTGGTACCGGGAATCGATCCCAAGGCCTTTGCACTTTTAAAGTTTTGTTTTGAGACAGGGTCCTGCCCAGGCTAGACTTAAAGTTGCCATCCTTCTACCTCAGCCTCCTAGAAGGGGACTGGGATTACAGGCACATGTCAACATGCCTGGCTTTGAAAGAGACTTAACGATGCAAGTATGAATGTCTATATGCTTGAGCTAAGTGGTGATTCAACAAAATAAAGACCTGATTCTGAACATAGTTGGGAAACACATACTCTTTGAGAACTTGGTTATGTTGAGGGGAAATGACTGCTTGACTTTATTGAGGTGTTTATTCTCCTTACCTGACTCCAACCAACAGTTCTCAAAGCTTTGAATATGTCATGTTTCTGAGAATCAGGGCTTACCTCCCTGAAGATATATCAGTGTTGTTTTTTGATTGAAACATACCAATTTAAACTACTTTTTAAAATGAATATTCATTCAATAGCCTCCATACACAATTTAAGATAAGTCAGTTATTAGACTTTCCCACAGAGATGTTCTGCTGGTAAGCAGGAAGACAAAGTTTGGTGATTTGATGCATTTTACATGGCGTCAACTACTTTGAGCATTCTATCTGATAATAGAGGATGCTGATTCTGAAAAACAACTAAGCAAAACATTTAACCTAAAACGTTTTTTTCTCATTAGATCTATACTTCAAAAGATTTTATTGTGCAAGAATTTTATTCAACTGTTCTTATTAAATTTTGAATTTTATAATAATATTTGGTGGAAATATGTATTGTCTTCTTGGAAATGTAGCCCTCTGTAATCCTTGCTTTTACTCATGGCACACAAAGCCTAATATTTGGTCTTTTGCCCTTTGTAAAAAGAGAAGACTGACCTCTGATACAAAGTGCTTTGTCTCATTAATTCTTTTTTTTTTAATTCAGTGATGTGTCCATTAAGCAAATAGTTTCTGGCCAACACCCATATGCCAAATGTTATTCTATTGGGGACACTATAAGCAACTAGACTTTTTAAAAAGTTCTGTCCTCATAGAACTTATATGCAAATCATCCACATTATCTTCTAACACCTGCCCCTTACGGAGGGTTCCTTCAGTCTCATGCCATATACAAGCAGTATGAAATTCAGAGAAGTTGGGTAGCTTGTATGGGTGTTTTGTAATTATTAAAATAAATGTTTTGTCTCCTCTTTCATTTCCTCCAGCCTAGTCATTGTTGGTTACGCCAGATGGTAATACAGTTGTCAGTCAGCTTGACTAATCTCCTGGACAAGTTTTCAAATATTTCTGAAGGTTTAAGCAATTACTCTATCATAGACAAACTTGGCAAGATAGTTGATGACCTTGTGGACTGCATGGAAACCTCCTTTAAGGTAACTGTGTTCACTGGGCTTGTTTTTTGTTACCTTTCTTTAAAACCTATGTTAGCTTGATTTGTGCCATTTTGAACTTGTAAACTTTGACTTTAAAAACATTTAAAAATGACAACAGAAAACAAGTGTTTGTAGTTATATTGCAACACCGAAATGTATGTTTAGATTTAAATATTGTCACCTACTTTTCAAAAAATAAAATTTCTTCACGCTACAATGCAAAAACAGTTTAGCTTTGATTTTTGCCTCATACATAGATGAAAGTCTGTAAACCTTCCTATTTGGTTACAAGTTTATTTAATAAACTAAGCTTTTCATTTTACCATGTCTGTTGTTTTACTTTAACACACAAGATGTCACAAAGGAAATAACATGTGCATTGGGGTTTTCAAGATGCAGTAGCTGTTCAGTAATACAGAGTGTAGGAAAAAGCATTGCAAATGATGAAAAAAGTACATTTAGTAACCTTTGGACTTTGGTTAGAATCCAGGAAATTGCAGAGGGTATTTTTCAGTAGCTTTGAACACTGAGTTAATGTGCATAAAGTGTATACAATAGAACATGTTGTGTACATATAGGTGTTTATTGTTATCAGTTTTTCTTTAAAAACATTCATTTAATGTGTCCCTAAAATACACCTTTGATTTGCTTTTTGAATTTTGTATAAATTAACCCTACTATTTTTATTCTTTTCTGACTGCTTCATTCACTCAGCATTTAGTTTATAAGATGTATCAACTTTCCTACATATAATATTGTTATTCACCGATTCTATATTCCAGAACTTATTAAGCCACTCTCTTGTTGATGAATCTAAAGATTATAATGATGCTGAGAACTCACTACGTCTTATGTGAGTGCATATGTGACAAAAGTTCCACTAGAGAATGTACCCAGGAGAGGACTTTCTGGATGACAGCATGGACACATGTCCAACTTTATTAAATAATGTCAGAAGTACCAACTGCAATATATAAGGATTCCCCACCCTACATCTGTGCCAATGCTTAGTATCATCAGATGTTTTAATCTGGGGATACTGAAGCATGTGTTATGGAGGGGTTTTAAATCAACAGCAATTTTCTTCCAGTACAGCGAATTAAATGTCAGTCCTCATATGCTAGGCGGGTGCTTTACCGCTGAGCTACATCCCCAGTTTTTTCTTTTGTTTTGTTTCGTTTTTTGTTTTTTTAGACATGTGCTCTCTGTTTCCTGGGTTGATCTCACACTCGTGAGCCACCTACCTCAGCCTCTCAAATAGCTGGGGTTACAGACATGCTCTCCTGCACCCAGAAACACTAGTGTTTTGAGGAGCATCGCGGAAAAACAAGTCTTCGATTGGTTGTCAGCGTCATTTCGTTGCTGTGGCATTGCTGCCACTGCACCAGCCCAACAGTGACCTGCCGAGCTACACGACCAGTTTGAGTTAATATTCATTAGGACAGCAGTCTAGAAGCTTTGGCTTTTAGAGTTCAAGTATTTGGCTCCTTGGATGACATATTTACTGCCCGTTAACCTCGGTTATGTTAGGTGACATAGACTATGTGAAAGATGTAATTTTCAGTTTTATTTTGTTTTTCCTTTGCGTTTTGTATAGAATGTGAAAGAATCATCTAAGAGGCCCGAACCCAGACTCTTTACTCCTGAAGAATTCTTTAGAATTTTTAATAGATCCATCGATGCCTTCAAAGACTTCATGGTGGCCTCTGAAACTAGTGATTGTGTGATTTCTTCAACACTAAGTACAGAGAAAGGTAAGACACATAAACATCTCCAACTTAAATGTAAATAGCCAGCTTGAACTAATTTATATCTGTAAGAATTGATTTCTGAATCAAATGGATGTGTAACAATAAAAAGATGTGTGTGTTGTTCTAATAAATAATCAAATGTCAATGGCACCTGAGAAACTAATGATTGTGTATTGGTTGGTTTCCAAGGCAAACATTATTCAATTAAGTTAAAAATTATACATGAGTAAACAATATATGAAATAGTCACGCATATATTTTCTATCTGATGTTATTCTTTACCTCCAGTTTCCTTAATGTTCCTTTCTCAGATCTCTTCATTAAATGTCTAATTATGTGCATGAATTCTGATTCTCGTCAGTTATTGTATTGTATTGATACCCTCCTCCCTGTCACTTGGTCCCTGTAACAAAAATTTAATTGCTTTCTTCTTTGAATGACAAATAGCATTTGTATGCCATAAATCTTTGCTCTACAAGGTGACTGTGGTGAATTTCTTAATAAAATAAAACAGCAGGATTCAGTGTGAAATAAATAGGTTCTGAATAATCTCAATAAGGGAAACAGACCTGGCACATAGTGATACTGCACTTCACCTTTTGAGGACGCTCACCATGTAACACTGACACATTATTGCTTTCTATTTAGATTCCAGAGTCAGTGTCACAAAACCATTTATGTTACCCCCTGTTGCAGCCAGCTCCCTTAAGAATGACAGCAGTAGCAGTAATAGTAAGTACACATCTGATTTAATGCATGCATGGCTCCAATTAGCCTCTATAGGAGTATTGCATGGGCTTTAAAGGAAATTTATGCAATCATTATTACTGTTAATACTGTTATGTTACTGTTATTCCTCTTATGGTCTTCCTGAGAATGAAATATTTGGCTTGTAGACGGGGTTTCCCTAGTGGGTTGATCTATGTAGAGAATTGGACCGGTAGATTTTGTGCTAAGATTATATTAAATATGGCATGAAATTAATTCGATATATGATTTAGACTTTTGTCACTATAGACTTACATATATGTTGTGGAAAATGTGCCCAAAAAATGGAGCTTTAAAATTGAAAATACAAGTGCTGGTTTTGTAAAATTCTAAGGATATTTTCAGTTTTGTGTATTTGTTTATCACTATTTGGTATCGTGTGTTTGGAAATTTGATGATTTTGTTATTTTACCATAAATATATGTATTGGAAGAAAATATACTTTCCTTTAAATCTCTGTCCTCTTTGGCCAAGAACCCAACTCTCTGGAATACTCTTGCTTTTCAAATTCAGACAAAGGTCATTAAAAAGGTTTTGGATTTACAATATTCTCTCTAGCCTCAGGGAAGCTGCAGAAAGAAAAAAAGATCTGGTCATTTTTGCTAAAAATGTCATCCCTTAAGACTTATAAATGGGTCTATACTTGTCATTTTTTCAGGGGCATAGAAGGTATAAGCATTTTATTACAAATGCATCATAGCATATTTACAACGTGAAATTAAAAAGAAATTAAGTTACGAATCATTTTAGAATTTTCCACCAGAACTTGTCCTAAATTGAGATAAAGCTAGATATTTATAGTCTTATCCTTCTAGGAATGAATATTTATGCATTTCAGTACATAAATATGAAGACATTTGATTGAGGGCACTACCCAGAAGTCACTGGTGGTCTATAATGTACAACATTTGCAGGACAGAATCTTCTATAACCTAAAATTCTAAATGACATTTATAGCACATCAGTTCTGGAAAGTTTCAAAGAGGACTGGAGTTATACATGTATATCTATGTGTCAGTTTAGGTCTTTCCTATGAGCTATGGCTTTATTAAGCTTTTCTGTGAAGCACCTTTTGGTTAGATTCTGTTTACATTTTATTGATTTTAATCTTTATTATGTCCTTTGTTCTACTTACATTGGTGATCTTATTTTACTCAAGTTGCTGTCACTCTTTAAGGTACAAAAATTATATCACTGATTTTTGAATCAGTCCTTTCCTAGTTTCTTAAAGTTATAAATTTTCTTGTAAGCACTGCTTTTGCTGCATCTTACACATTCTAATGTATTTTGTAAATTTTTCTTTATAATTTTTTAAAAACTTTAATTGTGATGTTTTGATTCATGGGTAATACAGAAGTGAATTGTTTGGTATCTGAAATGTTATGCTTTTTATATATTTTATTGTTGTTGGTTTCTAAATTAATTCTGTTACCATCTGAAATTTATTGTACTCCTCCAAAATTCATTGAGAATTACGCATATTATTCAACTACTGGGTGTAGCATTCTCAACTTGGGAAAGTAATTTGGTAATATTGTTTATGTGTTGTTTTCTTTGTTAAATGCTTTCTCTAACTTTTCATCAATTGCTTAGAAAGGTGAATGTAAAAATCTTTCTTTTTGCTGAAGATCTGTCTGATTCTGTGTTTAATTCTGTGCTATTATATTTTTCACAATGCACTGGCCTTTTTAAATCTTACTGAAAAATTTCTCATCACCTCACCTCACCTCTGGTACTGTTCTTTGTTTTCCTTTATATTTTGTCTGATATTAGTAGAGCCAATCTTCCTTGTATTTACTGAGATATATATATATAGATATATCTGTCTCTCTATATATATATAGATATATAGATATATCTATATATATTCATATTCAACCAGCTGTCCTTTTCAAAATATACTTGTGGCAGATAATCTACACTTGGAACTTTACCCACATCTATATTGTGTGTTATTGTTGATATATACTGTATAGCCATATAAGTTGTAAACCCCATAATCTACTCTTAAAAATTGTTGCTGTAGCCCAGCCTGGTGGCACAAGCTTGTAATCCTAGCACTTGGGAGGCTGAGGCAGGATGATTGTCATAAGTTTGAGGCCAACATAGGCTACAGAGTGAGTTCAAGTTCAGTCTGAACTGTATAGTGAGACCTTGTCTCAAAAAAAAAAACAAAAACAAGATTAATTAATTTTAAAAAGTAAGTAAAACAAAGTTAGAGAAAAAAGCAGAGAAGCAAGTAAAGAAAGCACAGAAAATAAGAGAAGCAAAAATGTCTTGCCTTTTATAGTTATTCTGTGTTCTGTACCTTTTATTCTTTCTTGTAAATACACTTTTCTTTCTGGTGTTAATTCCTTTCAGAGCAAAACAAAAACAAAAATAAAAACAAAAAACAATTCCTTTAACTTTTCTTGTAGTACAGATCGGTTGCAAGGAATTCTCTTTCTTCTATTATATGAAAAATATTTTATTGTATTTTCCATGTAGAAAGTACTTTTTAACCTCACATCAAATTCTGGGTTAACAGATTTTTTTTTCTTTCAGTCTTTTAAAGATATCATTAAATTTTCTTCCTATGGATATTGTATCTGATAAGCAGGCAGCCATCACTTGTATTATGTTTTTCTATGTATATACTTGGTCAGTTTTTTTTCCTTGCTTTCTTTCAAAATTTTCCCCTTTAGCAATTTAAATAAGATTTGATGGTGCTTCTCTCTTGATAGATGAGAGATAGATTAATTCATTTTTCATGGAATTTGTCAATCCTCTTGAATAGATAAATTATTTTTTTCTCCAAAGTTAGGAAAAGTTGGACCCTAATTTTCCAAATATTTTCTCTCCTGCTCCTTTCCTTCAGAGACACAGGTCACACATACTTCAGGCAAATCTACATTGTATCATAGGTTACAGAAGTTTTTTTTTCACACTTTTAATCTCTTTTCCCTCTGTTGTTCTGAATGGGTAATTTCTTTTTTTATTATTATTAAGTTTATTGGTACTTTTTAGGTACACAGTACATTCATCACTGGGATCTTGTACCTTTACATGATGTATCTTGGTTCTTATTTACCCTGAATGGGTAATTGTTTTTGTCTGTTTTCCAGATTACTAATCTTTCCTTCTACCATCTCTACACTATTGAATTTTGCACTGAAAGATCTTTTTTTATTTTTAGATTTATATTTTGTGTTCTAGAGTTTCCATTTGATTATTTTTCTATTTCTCTACTGAGATGTTCCATTCGTATATTTATTACAATGATATTTTCTTTTTGTTCCTTAAACATAATGATGATAGGTTTTCTAAAATTCTTGTACCTAATTTCAACTTGTAGATCACATTACGGTTAGTTTCTGTTGCCTTTTATCCCTCCCTGATTCACATATTATTTTAAAAATTAGCACTATTTGAATATATGTTGGACACTGTAGATATCATATTATTGAGTACTTTCCAGATTTTGTAGCATTCCCTTGGAGGGTGTTGAGTTGTCCCTGACGGGAAGTTTACTTACTAGTAGATGAGCTTTATCTTCCTCCCCAGGCTTATTTCTAAACTTTCTTGGACACAGAGATCAAGTTAGCCTTATTCTTTTTCTTTGTTTGTTTGCTTTTTATTATTCTTAAAATTTTTATGTTTATTAGCGCAAGTTTGTAGTACAGTGTTTACATTCCTTGTGTGGAGTTGGGACATTTACATAACGTCTTAATTTTTGTATCCCCTTTCTTTCCCCTCCCTCTCTTTTTTCTGTATCTCTTGATCCTTTCTCCTTTGAGAAAGATCTATCTCCCTACTCTCTGCCTCTATCTTTTGTTTTACCCTTTATTTATACTTTGGATTTCTCAAATAGGAAAACCATAGGTGTTTAAGGTTGTGTGTCTGATTTATTTCAACTATGTCCTCAGGTGCATCCATCGTCCTACAAATGACTCAGCCTCATCTTTCTTGGTGGCAGAAGAGTTCTCCAATGTTTGTGTAGACCGCATTTTCTTTATCCATTCATCTGTTGGTGGACATATAGCCTGCTTCTATGATTTAGCTATTGTGAATTTTACTGCTATAATCATGGATATGCATGTATTACTTTAATATGTCATTAACACTTAAGGCATAGAGTTTCTGATACATCTCTAGAGTGCTGAGTAAATCTCAACAATCTCACTTGCCAGAACTCCTTTGTCTCCCATTACTATGTGACTGCTAGGGTCTCTGTTAGGGATAGAGCTTCCTATCTGTTATGTTCTCACCAGTTTTTGTGAGGTCTCTGTGCCTGTATATCTTACTTGATCAATAATTGAAGGAGACTTTCATAGAGATTTACGATGCTTCTTTACAGTGTTCTTCTTGTAAATAACCTAGCTCTACAACCTTAGCCTGTAAACAACCTTGAACTTCCACTGCTGATTCCATGTCTCAGTGAGACCACTGAGCCTTGCTGAACTCTTTGTTTCCACACCCCCACAAGAAGGTGTCTCCCAGCTGGAAAGCCAAAAGCCAAAAATCCAGGAGAACCATGGGTCTTACTGTGTATGGCTTCTCCTCTCACATTACACTTTTGTACTGCTTACGGGCTAATTTCTGAAAATATCATGTCTTGTATAATTGTCCAGAATTATGATTATTTAAGTTTCGAAAGCTAGTCTGTTACCACCATGGTTGGAATTTGGCAAAAGTTTCTCTTACTGACTTTAAAAGAAACAATGTAAGACAACAACAACAATAACAAAACAAACTATTTCATCTTAAACCTCTGTTTCGGAGGCTACTTTTTAAATTACAAGATGAATGAACAGTTTTCCTTTTTTTGTTGCTTGCTTTTTATCTTCTTCAGTTTGTAAAAAATACAGGTCTTGCATTGACAGCAACATTTGGTTGGGTCTAATGTCAGTCATAAACATCCACTTACATGACGATGCATGGAAAAGCTGTTGTGGTACTTAGATTCCAAAAGATCGGGATGTAAACAAAATACCTGCTATATAATAAGTATAATGATAGAGTTTTATAAATATTTTTACTTGCTGCAGAAAGGAGACAAAGACTATTTTATGGGAGAAGAGTCAGATAAACTTGAAGAAATAATGAGAATTTTCAGAGATAAGATTTAAAAGCTGGCAGAGCCAGTCAGAGGATCAGGGCCTATGAACCATGTGAATATGAAAGGAGGAGTCAAGGAATAACACATAAGCCTACTATTTACCCCAAAAAAGACATATTTACAAAGTACTACTAATATCCCTTATGCCAAGAGCAGTGTTGATTAAGAGATGTTTGAAATCCTTACAGACAGCACCTAAATGATACAAAAGGAAATCTTTACCATGGCATTGCCATACAGATCTTGGGGAAATAGAATTTTAAATCAGATTGTCTGAGCTTATACCCCAGCTACAGTTCTTAGCTTACTGTGGGCCCTTAAGCAAGTCACTTGAGCTTTCTGGTGCTTTAGGAGGAACTGGAAGGTGCTAACACCTCTTTCGAGAGGTTTCTGTGAGTTTTGAGTGAGACTTGGAGCCACGCCTGACATCTAGTAAGAGTTCCTTATTAAGTATGAGAACCATTTAGGTGCAACAGTTGTGGGTCAGGGATTGTAGGGTGTGGATTGGAATCAAGAAGGAGGACTTAGTTGCGTCTTTCTTAAGCACCAAGAGATCCACGTTCACTGGTGTGGAGCTCCTCAGTGGGTTTGCTCTAAATAATTCAGCAAGATTGTAGAACATTTTCTGTGCTCTCTTTTTCTAGATGTCAGTTACTATTAGGCAAACTAAGCAAGTTGGTTTCCAAGAAGTTTTGACAATGGGCAGGTTTAGTAATAATGAGACACAATATATTAACTCAGGAGTTTGGGATTATTCAATGACCTATGTAGATGCTGTCCCTCCTCACAAGGTCTCTATAGCAAACTTCAGGTAAAAGCAAAGCTTTGTTATCAGCTTGGGCCTTAGCCCCAAAACCCTTCATTTGGGCTCTGAGGCATACAGTTCAATCGCATTGATTGCAGGTGGATAGCTGCAGAGGCAAGAACCAAATAGGAAGTTCTACCCCGGATGTATAAGCAGCCTTTGCTGATCAAGTTGTTTTTCTTTCCATGAAAAGGGGACCTAGTATCCTATCTCTGAGAATCGAAGGCTTGACTTTTAAGCCCCATTTGTAATGAGTGAAATAATAAAAGTAAGGAAACTTTGACCTGTACCAGATGGGACCCTCCACAGCTGGGAGTCCTTTCTTTCCAGTCTTTGAGATCGCTTTCCCTCCCTCTTTCCTGAAGGAGGATTACACTGCCTCTTTGATTCCAGGACTCCTAGTGACCCATCATCCTAAGGGTACAACTGTCAAAATGATGAAAATTAGCAATCCTAGTTGATGGAGGTGGCCACAGTAGGTTGTCCATCAAGAAGAATACAGGAGCAGGGCATGATGTCACACACCTGTAATCCCAGTAGTCAGAAGGCTGAGGCAGGAGGATTGTGGTGAGTTTCAAGCCAACTTGGGCAATACAGTGAATTCAAGATCAGCCTCAACTGCATAATGAGACCCTGTCTTGAAAAACAAAAGAAAAAGAAAGAGGAGGAGGAGGAGGAGGAGGAAGAGAAAGAGGAGGAGAGGGAGACAAACATAAATAGCCAAATTATTTATAGATAATTATAATAAATTTCCTAATATGGTATGGATTTCTTGCACTTCTAAAACTTTCTTTTTTACAAAAGCATTTTAAATGGGAGTAAAACCCAGACTGTTCCATGTAATCTTATGTACCCCTTAAAAACAGCTGTAATATTGTAATAACAGTGCTACTTCAGCTATACCAAATCTCATTTATAACTCCTTTATTTTGGTAAGAAAATTCTTACTGAACTCCAGTTTGAGTCACCTACAACACATCTCTCCTTGGGCTATCGCATGTGGTTATGGTGGTGGGCCAGAACTGTTGGATTCACTTTGAGGAAATAATTCATGATTCTGTAAATTGATGACCCACTTTCCACAACTCCAACGCCAGTTCCCCCTAGATGCCCGTTCCCGACAGTCCCCTCCCAGCACACCCACTGAGAACGGGCACCCAGGAAAGGAGCTTATCGTTAGAGTCTCTTTGGAAACATAGGCTTCATAGAAGCAGGAAATTTCCTGTTCCCAGTTCACCAGTCTTATTCTCAAGACAGTAGACTGAGTCTATGCCTTGTCGCTTAGATTACATTTGTAAGTTTATTTTTTCTTTGTAAATGTTGATGTACACAGTTGATCTGTTCTTTAATATTATGACTTTTGGTATGCTGGATGCTAAATAAATAAAAGTAGGCTAAGCTTGTATCCCAAATGCTATTACAGAGTTAGCTAGAAGCAGCCGCTCTACTCTGTTTACATTTTTTAAATCATATACTGTAATTGTTGGAAATTATGACTTCTGACTGCATCATATATTCAAAAGAAAACCACAGGTTTAACTCTTGCAAATACATGCCAGTGTTTCCAAACAAACAGGTTGCTCTTCATGAGAAACGGTTAGAGAAATGTGTCACAATAGGTTTCATATTTGGAGGAACAAATTCTTCTGGAAAACTGTTATAGTTCAAGTATCATTCTGCTTCTCATGAGAAGGCAGGATCAAGGAAGGTGTCCCAAGACAATCTCATTTCTCTTTTTTGCGACAGAATTATTTAGTAGACGTAGCCCTGGTGCCTTCTATCATCTTTGGTGTTAAATAGCTTCAAACTTTCCAATAAAAAGTACAAAAGCCAACCCATGATCCAGAGCACAGTATTTGGCACTGCCTGGCATCCAGAAAATGTGTATTGAAGATAAAAATGAGCAAAGAGCCATTATTTTGAGCATGAGGTACCAGCACGTACCATAACTACAGTGCGTATTTAGTGAGTTAATATTTGAAGCAGGCCAAATATAGCTGCCTGTGTACAGATTGTGATCCAGCTTGTAAAATATGATCCTAGTATTTGGGGTCAAGATGTCAAGCAAGGAAAAATGAAAAGGTGTTACAAGATAAAGACGCAGAAGATAGAGTTGCTTAACAGAAGGCATCATGCCCTGTCCCTGGGATATACCACGTCTGTGTTTTATATGCATGAACATCCAGAGTTCTTTCTGTCTGTGGGTTCTTTTTTTTTTTCCTTTTTTAAACACATTCATCTTTTGGAGGTTATATGTATTTATATTGCCTTGCAAAAACAATACTCAGCAGAAAAGTCAGCCTTTCCAGTACTTTAAACAGATAAAGGTCAAGAGTATGTTATGGAAACGGATGGGAACAACCACAGCAGAATGGGCAACCCTCTGGGATGGACCTACCACATTCACCACCGTGCTCTTTACCTTACAGGCAAGGCCGCAGATTCTGTTGGCGACCCCAGCCTGCAGTGGGCAGCCATGGCTCTGCCCGCTTTCTTTTCTCTTGTAATTGGCTTTGCTTTCGGAGCCTTATACTGGAAGGTAAGTATAGCTACTATTTTCTTGTCCTTCTTGATACACCTTACATATTTATTCCCCCCCAAAAGGAGCCTATTGACAAAACATCGAGCTTCCCTTTAACTTATAATCTAAATTTATTTTTAATTTTAGAAAATTGCCCACCTTTCCTCAGTATGCTTTGAAGATAATAACCCTTGTGGCTCAGAACGCACACTTCAGCAATGGGACCAGGTTTCTCAGCTAAATAAAAAGGGGAAGACAAGATGCTGCAAATCATCTGATGTGCTTAAAAGTCAAATAGAAGTGCCATTTGGGTTACTGCTATTTTGAATTGCGGCTCTTTTGTTCTCTTCATATTAAATCTTGTCTAAAATTTTAAACTGTGGTATATCATCATGACTCAGCTTTTAGAACTGTCTTTTGAATTTGATTACTCTTTAAATAAGACAGTTTCGTTTTTACTCTTTTGACCCCAATGTCCTAAAATTTTTGAGTTGATAACACATGCAGTTTTTATAATTTTTATTGCAAAAATGTTTCACACACTGGATTATTGGAGTTACTGACGTGAAAGATAAAAAGTGAGGGCTCATACTTTATCACATTATAACAATCATTCATTGACATTTTTACAATATATATCACTGTTCTTTTCCCAGAAGAAACAACCAAATCTTACAAGAGCAGGTGAAAATATACAGATTAATGAAGAAGATAATGAGATAAGGTATTTTGCTTTGCTAAATATGTGGATAAACAAGCATGATGTTCTTATTTCTCTTACTGTGTATCTATATTTCCATGGTGTCAAGAAGTTAAATTTCATGAGGCAGCTCCCAACCGATGTGTCCCCAATTTTTTCCATGTTTCTGGTGTTTCATGGTATCTTCAATATTACTTTTTTTTTTTTCTGTAGTACTTGGAATTGAACCCAGGGCCTTTGCACTGAGCTCCATACCCACCCCTTTAAAAACAATTTTTTAAAAATTATCTTGAGATAAGGTGTTTCTGTGTCTAGGCTAGGCAGGAATTTGTGATACTCCTGCCTCAGCCTCCCATAGCACTGGGATCACAGGTGTGCATCACCATACCTAGTGCTGCTACATTTTCATTTACCTGAAGCATTACCTTCACATATTTGTCTCTGAGGGTACATTTGCCTCTGCTTAGAATTCTCAACATGTTTCTTCCTGTCGTATTGTGCCTGTGTGTATCATTTGTTATATATAAATATTAACTGTATATAAGGGTATATACTTAACCACTGGGGAAGACTGTGTTGAGACGGAGAAAATCATCCTTCTTTATAGTGATGCTTATGAAGGTACAGCTTCCAGCCCAATTCTGCCATCTTTTGCTACTGCATTTTACAGGAAAAAGTCCTTTTACAATAGTGTACTTCAGAATCTCTGTCCAAAAGCAAGTACTGTAAACCTTTTTCTTGTTGCTTTTTCAGTATGTTGCAAGAAAAAGAGAGAGAGTTTCAGGAAGTGTAATTGTGGCTTATATCAACACTGTTACCTTCGTGCATTGGTAAGTTTTTAGAATTCAAACTCACATATTTAGCAGGAACCATATAAGAACTTAGAAGCCAAACTTTAGAAACAAATTTTGTTATTATGTCCTCTATCAAGAACCTGTCAGTACGTTAAACAAAGTAGTTACATAGCTGAACTGTGCGTATCTCACTCTTGTGTATTCTCAAGTTTTGAAAGGTAAACAGTGTTAGCCCTGATAAGCAAATTCATCTTGTATGGGAGTTATATAAAAAATTAACAATTGATTGTCATTTATGAGGGAAGAAAATAAATTAGACAAGGAAAATAGAACAAATTAGGACTAAAGCAAAACATTAACAATGAAAAATAAAACCAGTTCTACTCAGGTGTGACCACTGTAACATGACACTATCCACTTGTTTGATGCTGAAAAAGGAAAAAAAAAAAAACACAGATGTTTCCCTGCCACTTTAAGATTTAGGAGAAAAGGTCAAAGTATCTTATAATCAAGAGTAAAACTGTCAAGGCAAAGTGCCACCCGCCGCATGACTTGTAATAGGTGTGGCTTATCACAGTCCAGAAACCAAGATGCATGGAATTACACCAGGGACAGATGCCCGCTGTGACTGTCAGGCTCGGAGAGGGACTCTTCTAGAAGGAGAGTAGGACATGGCCAGAAGTGACTGATGTTCATTATCATTTTTCTTCTCTCCTTTCCTTGATCCCAAGCCCCAGGCACAGTTGAGGGAGTGCCCAGCATTGCATTGGCTTGATCCAGTACTGGTTCCTGCTCTCCCTCACTTTCACTAATTTTGTTACTGCTCCCTGGCTCTTGCGCACATTTTACCACAGGGGTGTATGAGCCTTCAGGTCTTCCTTGCATCCCTCTCCTCTCAGAGGACTACTTACTGGTGTGGTCTGGTGAGCTCGTCTCTCCGTCCAGGTCCCTGCCCTTCCAAATGTCACTTCTGTCCCAGATTCAGAAATGTATCTCCAGATTGAATCTTCCCCAGAGAAAGCAGGTTCCTCTAGGAACTAACTTTTCTCATTGAAAAGATCATTTTCAACAGCCTGATATAACAGGATATAGTAATTACACAGCACACATCTAACACTTTAATCCTGTTACTCCACGTGCTCCCTTATTTTTATGGTTAGTCATATGCTGGGTTACTGTCTCCAAATCATGGATAGCATTCTCTCTTAACTGTTACCATCATACTTTTTCTCTACGCTCAGTTTTTCTGTTCTTAATTAAACACTTTTTATTTTCTGAAGCAATAGTTCCAGGGCTTAAGTATTTTTTTTCTAGACATCCTTTTCTCTGCCCAATACAAACCCCACTGATTCTTTAACTCCTGTTTTATCTCCTTTTTATTAGACACCTGCAAACCACACACTAAATGGTTAATTCTTAAAGGTTCAAGAAGTGTCCTGTGTTGTTGGACTTTTGGATTGCCTTGCGGGGATCCTGTTTTGCCACACAGATCTTTAGTCATTCACTTTTAACTGTGGTGCTTATTCTGTTGCATTTGGAGAGTGGATTATGATGGGAAAACCTAAGCAGTTTGTTTAAGAGGAGAAAAGATGGCATTTTAAAGCCAAGACAGTCGAGCAACTTCTGCATATTTCTGGTAGTCAGATATCAAGCAAGGACAGGAGCTGGATGTGTCTGCCTCATGCTGTGTCCAAGCACCTTACTTGGTGTCTGTCCATTGCTGGACACTTGGTGAATGTTTGTCGGATATGAAACCAAATGAATGAATGAGACCTTAATGAAAGCTGAACTGAGCTCTAAGGGACATGGTTCGTGTGAAGCTGGGCTTGTCTTTGTCTTGTGTCTGTGTGCATATGTGTGATTAATTTGCTTGTTCTAGTCAGTGGTGTGGCAAGCGGCACACAGCAAAGAAAATTATGGGAAGTCTAATATTTATTTAATTTTATTGAAAGTATGAAATTTATTCATGCATAAAATGAATCAGATTAGACAGGCAGGTAAAAGAAGCCTAGAATTGTTCTGAAAGAAATTCATCCCCTTTATTGAGTCAGCGTTAAACCGGTGGTGTAGAATGAATGAAGTCAGTGACTAATTCTCTGTCATCAAGTACTTTATTCTTTATCTCCACAAATTCCTCCTAAGACTCAGTTCAGATACCACCTCCTCCAAAACTCTGAGTAACCACCTCTCTTTGTGGCCCTCTGATTACATTTCAAATGACTCTTGATATTTACATAGAATTATTTACATAGACATTTTGTATATTTTTTTGAAATCATAAACTGTTATTTGTTTCTGTATTTAATTTTGCAACCCCACCAAACTATACTTTTATTCTTTACACATATATGTGATAAATAAATATTTGTTGAATAAATGCATAAAGAGATAGGAATATCCTTGAAAATTCAGTAGTCTAAGAATAAAATTTTTTGGAGATAAAAACATACTCGAACATACATATATATGAATAAGAATTCAAAATTTTTAATGGGCTGGGATATACCTCAGTGGCACTGTACCTGCTTCACAAGCTCAATGTCCTGAGCTACTGAAAAAAAAAAAAAGAAAAAATATTTTAAAGTAATCATAGTCTTAGTTAAGGAGAAAGGAGAAAAGAAGCAAATGACTCAGGTTTATGGCAAAGATTTCATCCTGAAAATGGAAGTTTCACCAACTAAAACAAAATAATTCATGATCAATATTGAAACACTAGAATAGAAAATATATGAAGTGATTAATTCTCCAAAGGAAATAACTTGTAATTTGAATACAAAACATAAGGAGGGTCTAAATTTTAAATATAAAGGAAGAATATGGATAAATTAAATAATGAACTAGAAATGAGAGATTTTGCTTCTAAGAAAATATACACTAAAGTTGTATTTATTTGATATCACACATGAAAAGATTTATATGAAAATTTAAAAATCTACTTTGTCGACGTGTGGCAGCCTGTTAGATCTCTTCATGTATTAGGCTGTATGTAGTACAACTTAAAAGAAAGGAATAAACCTTCATTTATCTTAGTATAATATGGGAAAATCGTGCTCTTCTGTCTTTCTACAGATATGATTCCACCAAACTCTTATACGTGCATTGGTGGATGGAACCTAGTTATATCTTCAAGTTACTTGTATCCTACAAAAGGAAATGATACTAATGTTATTAAAGTGAACTATAAGTCTGTAAAGTTCAAAGAGCAGCAAAGGAAAGGTTACAGAGAAAAATGCAGTAAGAGATCAAAGTTGGTGCAATTGTACACATTTGTATAAAATGTGAACTGAACACAACTGAAGATATTGGGCTGGATGGCATCCCTTATAATTGTGCCAGACACACCCACATCTATCTCTTCTTTAAAGGGATAGAGAACCTGCCAGGCACAGGAGAAGGGCATTATTTTATAAGTACTGGAGGAAGCATTTATACTGCACTAGATCTTGCATTATTGGTCACGTGTATTAGAAATGCCAAATGATTAATTTTACTGCAGATAACATAAACCAAGTCATGAAGGCCCCAAACTACAAACTGTTCAACAGTCGGTTTGTACAATTGGACTCCGGTGGAAATCACACAGAAAGGGTAAAAAGTACTGAGCACATAGAGCGGGCTTGAGCTTGAAAGAGCTTTGAATTCTAAGAACAAAGGCTTGTATTCCATTAGGTAGCGTAAAAAACTGTTTCTGGCTTAAGAAGAAATTAAGATACCATCAAAGCAGAGGTTCTGGAGAAGTAAGCAGGTGTTAATGTGGTCAGAAGAACGGGAGTACTGACCTGGAGGACAGAAGTCCGCCTGGGGGCCTGTCTTCCAATCAGATGTGAGAAAATGGCCACAAGAAGTAGGATGAGAGCCTTGGAGATGGGAAATTATGGACCATTTTGGAGACACTGGCATTATTAATGGGATGTGACACTTGACAGGACTCCCAGATGTTTTAGCGCTAATGGAACTTAGCAGATGGAAATGCTATTAAAAAAAAATAGGATGTAAAGAGGAGCTGTTGATATTTACTGGTTGAACTGAATAATGGCCAAGTATGTTAGACTGGAACTACAGAACTACAATTGGGGCTAGAAATTATAGATTTGGAATTTGTGAGTCATCTACAAAGATTCTTAATCAAGATCCAGCAAGAGAGATTGCTTGGTCATAGAAAAGGCTGTCTGTAAACAGCATGTATTTCTATCATGTACTGTCAGTGGTTTCTTGACTACCTCGCCATGATAAATGTACAAAGTAATTCTTATGATTGTTACACATGTGGGGAGATTGACAAAAGAAACACAATCCAGGACTTTCCTATAATTCTAAACTAGAAGAAAATAGATTTTAGAATTGGAATGGGGAAAAGCTCAGATCAAGCTTGAACATTGAGGGTACAGGGCTTGGGAATGGTAGGTTGCCAATTGCCAATACCTTTGGATCTTTATCAGATATTTTTCTAAAACTTTCTGTCGCTTTGAGGTTTGTGTCTCTGTGCTTTCTTTCTGTGGCCCCACTGAAACAGAAGATTACAAAGGATTATATCTGGGTTCAAGTTTTGGCTGTGCAATTTAACTAGTTGTAGGATCCTCAATGAATCAGTTAATGTCTTCTGACCCGTTAAGTGTTGCACACAGTCATGTACCATATAGCAATGCTTTGGTTAAAAATATACCACACATATGACGTAGGGCAGTCAGTCATTCTGTAAGATCAGGTGTGCAACAAGCATACCATATGGGTTTGTGCCCGTGCTCTGTGATGTTAGCCTAGGCTCTGCGATGAGCCTAACAACTCATTTCCCAGACCATATCCCCATCATTAAGCAATGCATCACTGTATAACTGAGGCCATAATAATACTTGTCCTCCTTATTTCATGAGGCTCTTGTAGAAATTCAGGGTATCATTATAAAAATTGTAGTTTTGTTCTATGGGGAAAACAGTGGTGAGTCTTCAAGTTTATTTTGTTTGCTAAGTGACCCAGGGACAAAAATAGAAATAAATTTCCAATCTTGCTTGTCTACATTTAATTAAGCCTAGAATTTCACATTATCTACCTAGCTTTTAAAAATATCCTTTCACTTTTTGTGATTCCCCTTTGCTTGGTAGCCATCATTTATTTAAAAAATATTTTCCATACATTTTGGATTTCTGAAGTTTTCTCTTAGTATCTTTTAGTTTTTCTTACTGGATTTAATTCTGCTTTTCAAGAAAGGATTCCTAGTTTCTAGAGTTCTCTGTCTGGTCATGTAATACACATTTGAATGTATGACTTTTAAAGAGCCCGGGGAAAATACTGTAATTCTGACTATTCATACTTTTAGACTGTATGTTTATTCTGCAAAATGATCACAATATTTTGAAACCAGTGATTTACAATTCTAGGATTGATAAACAAGGACAAAGTAAGGAAATAAATTAAGGAAGAAGAAAGAGGAACGCAAAATACAATTCATTTGGGGATTTTTCTGGCAGATAAAGATATTATGTATAATTTTTAAAAAACACATAAAGATGTACAAATATTTTACTGGAAAGTTTAAAAATCTGATGAAGGCTCAGTGGTTTAGCTCCAACACTGAAGAACTAAGACAAAGCAAGACTTTCTTGCTTTCCCAAGTACAATTTATTGCACTAAGACCAAAGGAAACTCATCGGGGCCGCTGTCAGAATGCGGGGCAAGGAGTTCGGTTTTTCTTTTGAATGGAAATATTGAATGAGATCTTGCAGCTGCTGTTTCTTTTCTTTTTTTGTACAGGGGATCGAACTCAGGTTCTTGCAAGGCAGGCAGTGGAACCACAAAGCTAAATTCCCTACCCATTGCAGCTGCTGTTTCCTCAGCAGGGAGCAGTGGTTACTAGCACCTAGCTAGACATCTGGGGTATTAGCTGCTCATTGGCTGGGAGTCTGTTCCCCACTGGTGGCCTCTGACAACTTCTCTACCTAGGACAGGGACTCCATCTTCGTTCACTTCTCTACTCCCCATTCTCCAGACGCTACCTTGACCTTCACACCTTCTCCCCTCCCCTCCTTATCTAGCACCTGTTAAAGCCTTGCTAGAGAAACTCAAGGTTAAATAGCTCGGTAACACTCCTACACGAACTGAGATAATTGGTTGTATGTTTGGAGGTATGAAAGCCACAGAATGGATTCGTTTATCCATTCTTAGAAACATCATTAAGTACATGCTGGGCCTATATGCCAAGCACTGTTTCAAGAGTTGAGGGCCCTTACGGAATTTGCCTCCTTCAGACAAATTCAAGTGTTCCAGGGAGGATCTACTAGGAAAAAAATCTACCCAATTATTTTAAACCAAGTTCAGTACACACAGTAAATCTACTATTCAGTCTGGGGGCTTATGCAAAGATTCAGCTATTAAGAAAGAAAAGAGGGTAGAAAGAAAACACACCATAACCTCTTCTTTTGTTCCTTCTTCTCTAGGCTGGTAACAGTTCATGTTTGCTTCATAAATGAAGCAGCTTTAAACCAATTCCTATTCTGTCGGAAGCGACAGACCTCATCTTTATGTGTTCCTGCTACCCATGACTTCATATGGATGATTCAGAACTTGGAACAGAGTGTTTTACTGTGAAACTGGCACTGAATTAATCATCTATAAAGAAGAACTTGCATGGAACAGCACTCTATTCTAAAGACCAGAGGGTCCTGTGGTCTCATTCAGAACTTGCAAGTGATGGCGGTAGAGGAAGCACGTGTCCCAGTTTGCACGCACCATTTGCATGGCTCCAGAGATGTCTTACATGCTGAGAAAACACACAGCTTTACTCTTCAGTTACAATCTGCAGCCTGTAGTTACCCCAGTCTGTGCAAGTAGGTTTCAGCCTGGCTAGTGAAGGGAACAACTTTTTCTCAAAGAGATCTAGAAAACAATACGGAAAAACAAAAAGTCAGTAGCAACAGCCTCTGTGTAGTGTGGGAAGCAGTGGGAACTTAGTGGTGGGTGCAGGGGTGTCAGCGTGGTGGTTGCTGCTTAATGAGAGGAGTCCAACCTTGATCTCTTCCTGACATAGACCAGGCATGTGCATATGCCGCTGGAGAAATGGACGTGGTTGGAAGATTTGGTCTATGCAGGAGAGTCTGTACTGAATTAGAAGAGCCACACCTCAGTTTAGGGAAGCCTTTCCAAAAGAGTCATCACAGGAGGAAGCTGTGAACCCTGACCGGCAGTATGTCTCAAGGAGGATATTTGACGTCCCTGGCAAAGTCAGCCTTTTGCCGTGGCTACTCTAGAGTGTATAAATTGTGTTTGCAAATTATATTAGGACATGTTTATACTCTAAAATAATCAGAGTTATGTAGCCGGATGTGGGAGAAAATGCTGAATGTATGATGGTCCCATTTTCAACATCTACCATGGGAGAGAGTAAACCTAAATTATGATATTTAGTATCTAAGGTTAGAAAATCACACCCCCATGCTAATATGGGTGTTGAAAACTAGCTTACTTGGTTTTTACAATAATGGAAGGAATCAGGAAACTTTAGTTATTTATAGTGTAATCATCATTATCTGTTTAAAGGAAGAATTTATTTAAAACCAGCCACCCTATATTCATTAGAGTTTATGAATTAAAAATAAAAAGAGAGCTTTAGGTACTTATGCATGTCAGTTTGCTATTTAAAATATGTGACAGCATCTGTCATATTAAGAGTGAATTTGGCTGGAATTACCAAGATGGACATTATACTTTTAAAATAAAATTTGTAATACGCTATGTTAGTTCCCCTTGTCAATTTTTTAATAGTCAAAAGAACATCTTAATAAAGTCAAACAGTGACTTTTCTACAGTTTCATTTTGATGAAAATTCTTTTAACACACAAATATCTAAAGGGTTCCAAAGCCTCTCATTCAAACTTGGTCTTTGTAATGATGTTATTGCCATGTACTATAACCATAAGATGACCATTTTTAATGTTGTTATACAAAAGGGCATGAAAAACTAAATGCTAGCTCTTCTTTGATTTCAAATATCTAAGAATTTCTAGTATGGTTGGATTTTAGCTTATATTCAAAGCTAATCCAAATACAACTCTGGTTTGTGGCCTTTGCTCTTTTTTGTACCAAAGAGCTCAAATGATTTCTATGGTCTCTTTCTTCTTTAAAGCGCTGTGCTTCCTCCAGCACAAGACATTTTTCTAAGAGTAAGTGCAAGTCAACTGGGAAGCTGCATTAACTTGCCAGGCCCTCAGATATCCCATGGTACAACTGGTTAGTAGTAAAACTGGGGAAGTTTAATTACTGAAGGACCGATCTGTGTGTATGGCATTTATTGTTTTGAGGAAAGTAGGCATAGATTAACATGACTTATATGTGTAGGTAGTGTATAGATTGAGAAGACTGATAGTCTCAGGCTAGTCATTTGGTTTCTTTATCCAGTGATTTCAGTTTATGTGGGTATATGGAAATGCTGTTTTCTGAGTTTGAGAGTACAAGAAATACATTTTTGTTCTCAAAGCTAGTAGTTTGGTTTAACACTCAAGAAAAAGGTCTTAATTAATAAACTTAGGAAGTTATGAAATCTGTCATGGTTGGGGAGGAGAGATGTGTCCTGCCTATTAAATGTATTGGTTCACTGAGAGTTAAATGGATTGGCAGTTTATAAAACACTGAACTCCAGTAAAGTGCATGAAAAATAGAAAAGTGCTGAACATCATTTGGGATGTTAGCTGCTTGGACATTTAATTATATCATACCTGGTTTGGAATAGAAATATACATATATCTTTGCTTATTTGATCCCACACTTGTTCTGAATATCCTTTGTCGTAAGTTATAGAAAACTCACTACTGAGATAATGAACCATGAAATCGCCTTCTAAATTGGTGCCATATGTCCAATAGTTCTTTTCTACAATGTTTCAAAATTGCCTTGTAATTAGAGTGATCTCAAAAGTCTGTAGATTCTAAAGTATACTGAGAGCTTTGCACCTCTTGGGTCAAGATGAAATCTATAACAAACCTGTCTCACTGGTAGGTGGGGCCTGCCTAGTAATCCTAAGTATTCTTGGAAAACCTATGATAATGTAAGGTGCTTACCACACAGCCACTTTTAATGAGTCAGAGGCAAATTGATTTTGTAACACAATAATAGACTAAGTAACCTATCTTCATACAAAATGAAAATATGAGAAAGGATGTGTCCATAATGAAGTATTTGCTTTTAGTAAGAATAAAACACATTTTACTTGGAGAAGTTTTATAGTCTATTTTAGCACTCTAACTCAACTAAAGCTATAAATGAACAGAAAAATCCATTCTGAAATCATGATTGTTTCCTAAAGTGTTTCTCCAGCTAGGTTTAGGTGTTAACATTTGACTCTAATATGGGGCATTTAGCCATTCCATATCTGTTCTTCAAGAAATACATTCTTCAAAAAGACAGTTTGACAGAGTGAGAATGGATGTTGGGAAAATTGTCAGAAGCTCTACTCTGCCATTAAGTCATATGGCAGATCACCTCTCCTCTTAGAGTCTCAATTATTTATTTATGATAAATTCGGGGTGAGCCTTTTCTGCTATGTGACTGACAATGCAGATTAAAATGCAGCACAACAGAAACTGTCCCATACAAACTATCCAACTCCATTCTCTATGAGTAAGCATTTTAACCATAAAAAATTTATGCTGTTTTTGTTCCTAATGTAAATAGGTTCCATTAGTAAAAGTGAAATTCAGTTGCAAGTAGGGAGAATTAAATAACCATATATACAAGAGATGGCTTTTATCCTGCTTAAATACACATTTTGGATCACCTCCGAAGAAAGAAAATTAGTAGTGTATCTTAGTCTGTAAGATATACTTTAAGATGTGCGTGACATTTGGAAATGCACCAAAATAAACATTGGAATGTTCTCATTTTATTGAAAGCTAAGAACAGGAGCTGTAAGATACTCATACAGTTTTTGAATGCCAAAAGATATTTTGCAACCAATTCACAAAAGGATAATCCAGAAAATAAATTTTGAAAAGTGGAAAGTGGGACAAGAATTTAAAGGAAGCCAGCTTATTTTGTTTGAACTGATACTATTTTAAATTTAGTTTTAAAATATATCCATTCAGGTTAAAATTCAGTCACACAGTTTATGGTGTTGCTGCCTCCCACCAACTAGTCTTTTGAAATGACTTTGTAAAGATAAAACAATAGTACTGTCATTTCATAAGAAGATGTTGTATTAAAAACAATCCATGTTAAAATTTACATTTATGATCCTAAAATGTTTGCTAAGCATTGTAATGTATAACTGACATCTCCAACTACATTCTTTTAATGTTCCTAAACATATAATTAAGATGAGAATTGTTTGAGCTCAAAACTATGATATTTTCATTTACTTGAATTTTGAGATGCAAGACTCAATATAATTTTTCAAACAAAGTAGCCCTTTCTCTGGTATTCTAAGCATCAAAGCATGGTTAACATGTCCACTTGCCACTGTTTTTTAAACCAATGGACTTGAAAAGTATTCAGACATTTAGATGGATGCACAGATATAATGCTAGTTCAGTCATAGATCAGAGTTTGCATATTGTAATATAAATGTATGTCAACACTATTCTAAATAGTTTTATTATGGCTGAAGTTTAATTAAATAAAAAAGGTTGTAAAATGTGATGTGTATGTGTATATACTGTATGTGTACTTTTTAAAATAGGTATATGTCCTGACCCTTTTATACAGGTTTGAATTTGAAATTACATTATATAAACATATACTTTATTGTTCTAAATAAAGAATTTTATGCACTCATAAACTTGCCCTGTCATTTGATCTCTTAGGGTCATCACACATGTTCACAACCTGGATGAGCATCTGTTAATTTAAATTTGTTAAAATCAATTTTTTCATGAAAGGGTTGGTTATGCATCTATATTTTAGAGAAATACAAATTCAAGAGGATAATAAATAATTTTAATTCAGTATTTATTGGCATTAAAATAAGGCACTGTATTCAAGGAAGATAAAGGTAAGTTAACACACTGCCCTGAAGAGTTTTAATTAGGAAACTTAATTGGGAAGATCTGAACATCACTATAATGTATATGAAGTCACAGTGAAGTAACTCCTATGTACCAAACAGGTCTGGGTTATGTGCTTAGGGCATGCAAGAAGACAGATACGGAATGAGGAGGCTCATGGAGAAGCTTGTGTTTGGCTAAGACTTATACAGATAATACATTTTTCATAGACTGAGGATAACATGCAGTCTGAAGAGCATTTTCCTAAACGAGAAGTTGTAATATTTTTCACCTATTTCATCCACTCAAACATATGTGTTCTTTGCATATACTTTAGAGATAAACACACAGTGAGATATGTCAGACCAGACTTTTGGATGCCACAGTAGGAAATACAGACACTTTTCCTGGGATCCACAAAAATGCCTTTTTTTCTGAGAAAAGAAGTGGTAAGATTTATGGCTTATCTAGTTTAGGCAACACATAATTGTCTGACATAGCCCTTGGTTTGCCTTTGGCCTTTGGGACCACAATGCCCAGCCTTAGGAAACTTAGCCATTCACCCAACTTTTCTTTTCAGAGTTGCTTGTGGATGCTCCCTCTTCTGACACTCTGTATACAAGACTTCCACAAACATAAACATAAATGACTGAAACAGCCTCAAACATTGTCACATTGCTTCTCTTTAGTCCTTTTTCAACCATTTCATCATGTTATATGTAATATTTCTTAAAACATGTAAATGGCTTCTTATTGTTTTCAGGATAAAATATAAACTCAATGTGCCCCCCTTTTATTAGATTGCTAATTATCTTCCCCTTTAAGCCATTAACAACACGAAGACGGGACCCCTGAATACTACTACTGTATTCTTCAAATTTAGTGCCAACAATACTTCATGGAATTGAACTGAAGTGAATGTTGAATGAGTATCATCTATTTTACTGCCTGATAGTATCTTTTAAACTTTTAAAATTATGGACAGTTTAAAATACATACAGTGGTAGAGAGGACAGTGTGATGAACCATGCAACCAGAACTCTGCTTCAATCTTACCTCTGAATGATTTTATTTTATCTAAGCTTACTGTCTATACCCTTATCTATTCTTTCATGTTATTTTCAGCAAGTGCCTAAAAACATTTGAATAAATACAATGTAAAGTGGATAAGCTATATTTCATAATGAATAATGAGAAAAAGCCTGTACATGTTCAGCACAGATACATTTGTTTTCTAATGCCTTATGTCCACGGTTGGTTGAGTCTTCTAATGTGGAACCATTGATAAAGAGAGGCTGAGATGTCATATTTGGCATTCCAGTCCACACCGAGCAAATCCAACATGCTCTCAGAACTTTTCCTTAATCATCTTCTCAAAATTAAAGTGAGGCACTCTTCTGAGGACATATTAGCTGTGTCGGGCTTCTCATGGTGGCTGTGTTCCCACGCACAGCTGTCACTGGTGTGAAGATGAGCTCTCTGCTCCTCATCTGTTCATTGGTACCTCTAGAGTTGAAAGTCTTATTACGGATCCCATGACACTCATAGGCTCATCGTTCCTTTCAAGTACTAACTCCCAGGCTGCCTCATCTGGTTTCTGGCTGGCTTTAGCACCTGAATCACTACACTAATTCTTTGTACTCCTGTCTTGTTTTCTAGGGATTTTTTTTTTATAGCATTAGTTTAGTTGTTACATTTTAGGTATACAATATAATGACATTCATCATTGGGAATTTGCACCTTTACATAATTACCTTGGTTCTTATTGTTCCCCATTCCCCTGCCCTCCCTTCAACCCCTCCACCCCTCCCTATTTACAAAGGCTTTGTTTCCATTTTTTTCATTTTCTCATATTAATTCCATTCCCTTCTTTCCTTTCCCCTACCCCTCCTGCTTTCCCTTCCACACTGCCCCTTTTCTTACTATTTCACATTATCTATTTTACCTTTTAGTCTTATTTACACTTTCAGTTTCTCACACCAAAGAAACTATTTGGTATTTATATGTGTGTCCTATTTATTTCACTTGAGTATTGCCTCATTGTGCATCCATTTAGTTTTAAATGTCTCTAATTTCTCATCTTTTATGGCTGAGTAGTACCCCATCTTATAAAACAGCCACATTCTTTATCCAGTCTTCAGTTGATAGTCAACTGGGCTGTTTCAAAGTTTTAGCTATCACAAAATGTACTGCTATGAACATGGGTGCACATATATCACTGAGGGATTTTATCACAAATTTGTGTTGGATTTTGTCAAATGCTTTTTCTGCATCTATTCAAATGATCATATGGTTTTTGTCCTTGGCTCTCTTAATATAGTGTATTACATCTATTAATTTGCATATGTTGAACCATCCTTGCATCCTGGGATGAATTCTACTTGTTCAGGATGTATGAACTCCTTAATGATCTCTTGCATTGTATTTGAAAGTATCTTATTAAGGATTTTTGCATCTATGTTCATTAGTGAGATTGGCCTATAGTTCTCTTTTTCAGTTGGGTCTTTCTCTGCTTTGGGGATTAAGGAGATGCTTGATTCCAGGAATGAATTTGGGAGTATTGATTCCCTTTTAATTTTATTGAAGAGTTTAAACAGCAGTGGCAGTAGTTTCTCTCTAAATGTCTTGTAGAATTCAGCAGTGTAGCTATCAGGACCTGTGCTTCTCTTAGTTGGTAAGTTTTTAAATTATGTTTTCAATTTCCTTGATTGATATGGGGTTATTTAGAATTTTTAAATCTTCTTTGTTCAACTTTGGTGATTCACACTATCTTAGAATCTGTCTATTTTTTTTTCTGTGTTTTCCATCTTATTGACATATATGTTCTCGAAGTAGGTATTGATGGTCCTCTGGATATGTTTTGGGTCCATTGTAATTTCACCATTTTCTTTCCTAGTTGCATGGATTTGGGCCTTTTCCTTCATTTTTTTCCTAGGATTAGCTTAGGGTTTGTCAATTTTGTTTATTCTTTCAAAATCCTACTCTACTTCATGCACATTTTGTATCTTTCTCTTAGTGTCCATTGCACTGATTTCTGCTCTGATCTTTATAATTTCCTCCCTTGTAGGAGCTTTGGGTTTTTCCTGCTCTTCTTTTTCTAGAAGCTTTTGATTGGGCATCAGGTTGTTTAACTGAGCTCTTTCTGTTTTCCTAATATGAATATTCACTGCTGTGAATTTCCCTCATAAGATTGCTTTCATTGTGTCCCATAGATTCTGATATATTATATTGGTATTGTCATTTAGTTGTAGAAACTGTGTGAATTCTTCTTTCATTTCCTTTGATCCATTGGTTATTCGGAAATATGATGCTTGATTTCCATGTGTTTATGAAATTCTTGTGGTTTCTTTTGCTATTGATCTCCAATTTCATCACACTATGATATGATAATATACAGGGGATAACTTCAGCTCCTTTGCACTTGCTTACACATGTTCTATGAGCGAGTTTGTGGTCTATCTTGGAGAATGACCCATATGCAGCTGAAAAAAATGTGTGTTCTGATTTTGTGGAGTGGAACACTCTATAAACATCTCTTTAGTTCATTTGTTCAAGAGTTTGACTGAGTTCCAGTATTTCATTGTTTATTTTTTGTCTAGTTGATCTATTTCTTGACAGTGGGGTGTTGACATCCCCCACTGCAATTGTATTAGTGCTTATTTCATTTTCCATGTCCATTATTATTTGTTTTATATAGTTGGGCACACTTGTGTTTAGTGCATATGTATTTATAACTGTCATCTGTTCCTCTTGGATTGTTCCTTTTACAAGGATATAGTATCTTTCTTAGTCTCTCTTAATCAGTGTTGGTTTTAAATCCATGTGATCTGCAAAGAGGATAGCTACTCCTGCTTTTTGGTGGTTCCTGTTGCATGGAGTATTGTTTTCATGCTTTTACTTTCAGTCTCTGAGTTTCTTTTGAATTAAGTGTGTTTCTTGTATGCAGTATATTGTTGGCTCTTGCTTATTGACCCATTCTGTCCATTTCTTTGGATTGGTGAATTGAGACCATTAACATTGTTTCTTTTTTGTTTTTTGTTTTTTGAGACAGGGTATCATTATATAGTTGAGACTGACCTGGAATTCATTATGTAGCCCAGGCTGGTCTTGAATTCACAGCGATCTTCCTGCCTCAGCCTCCCGAGTGCTGGGATTACACGCATGCACCACCACGCCTGGCAAAACCATTAATATTGATGGTTATAACTGATATTTATTGGCTTATCCTTGTTGTGACATTTTATTTTTGTTGGATTCTCCCCCTTTGCATTGAATTTCTTATAGTGCCTGTTGGTTTTATTCTGCTGGGCTTCCTGGGGTTGTTATCCTCATTGTCCTTTCCAAGGACATTGTTTAAAAATTTTTTGAGTACTGGTTTGGTATTCATGAAGTTCCTAAGGTGCTTTTTGTCATAAAAGTATCTCATTTCTCCAACAAAGGCAGTTTGGCAGAGTACATCAATCTAGGCTAGAGGTTGTTTTCTCTTAGTGCTTGAAATACATCACTCTATGCTCTTCTTGCCTTGAAGGTTTGTGCTGAGAAGTCTGCTGTGATTCTGATGGGCTTTCCTTTGTATGTGATTAGTTTATTTTCTCTACTTGTAAAATTTTGTTCTTCTTTTGGGTTTCTGGAATCTTAACTATTATATGCCTATCTGACTATTTTTTAGTCATGGCTAGTTGGAGTCCTGTATGCCTTACTTATCTGTA